TATTTCATGATGTTTTATAAATATTTAGTTAGGTTTATAATCTAATAATTATCTAAAAATAACGAAATCTTGTAAACGTTGTCAAAAATTAATCTTTAAGAGATAAAAAAATATTAACAATAAGCAACCATATTCAAATTAATAGAAAGATGCAGAAAAAAAATGGTAGAATAAACACGCATGCACGCAAATAACAATTTAACGAAAACGTGTCTACATTAAAAATTATTGTTTCTTTTTTATTATTTTTTATATATTTAAACTTAACATAGTAATTCAAATTATTATTCTAATATTCAAATAAAATGAATTTATGTTTAGTTATTATGTATTGCAATATAATAAGTATAGCATATTAAACAATATATTATCATATTATATAATGATAAATATAATAAAATCTACATAAAAAATTTTTGTAATAAGAGTGGTTAATATAATATTATTATATGGGTAATAATATGATGAATAAATATATATATATATATATATATATATATATATATATATATATATATATTAATGTAGGAATCGAGTAACTATATATAAACTCACAACTAAAATAAAAGATAAGAAAAAATAAATAAAATCGATAATAGACAGTAATATAATTTTACCACCAAAATAAATTATAATATGCTCTTTATATATATAGAGAAAATAATAATAATATATAATGCACTGGTAGAAAAAAGAATGAAGAGATTTGAGTTAATTTACAAGATAAACATGATACTCCTCTTATAACAGGAAAAGTAAGCAAAGATATAATTTCTCTTATGTATGACTTCTCTTCTTACATTTTCACAATCTCCCACCTGAAGATTTTGATTAAATTAATCAAATCTTCATAATACATTATTATTGTCTTCCATGTTGTTATTACAATAGACCTTCAGTAGGATCACATCTATATAAACTTGTCACTGTTATAATATCTGTTAGGTTCTTCTTGCTTTATCCTAAAATATAATATAAAAATCCTTGCAATGTGTAAAACAATCTGACTGTCACAATACATAACAATCTGTTGCTGCTTGTGTCCGAGTTCCTCCATTATCCTCTTAATCCAAAAATCTTCCTTACATGTCTGAATGATTGTCATATACTCAACTTCTGTGATAAACAGAGCTACAACATCCTATAACCTGGATAACCAGTTATTGTTTCTCCAACAAAGGTAAACTCATCAAGATCATCTACAAAACCTAAACAAAATAACATCTAACAACTAGTTTTGATCCTCTGAAACCTAATACAACATCCAAGGACCCTTTGATAAGAATTCTCTTGATAATACTCATGCTCTCCACCACAATTTACCATTGATCTATTAACCGCTCCTGATAATACTCATGCTCTCCACCACAATTTACCATTGATCTATTAACTGCTCCTATTTCTTGTGCAATGTTTGGTCTTGTACCGATCATGATATTCATAAAACTTCCCACCATTGATGCATATAATACTTGAGACATTTTCATCCTCCCTGCTTTATTGCTAGAATTTATACTTGAGGATAACTTGATAGAAAATGGGGTAAAATCTGGCTTACACCCTTGCATATTAAAGCACTGCAAACCCTTCAATAAGTAATTCTTCTTACAAAGCTAAACATTTCTATCTTTTATGTCCCAGTGAATTTGCATATCTAAAATCTTGTTTATTGGTTCCTAGTTCTTCATATCAGACTTCCTAACCCACTATACATTCAAAACCTAAATTAGAACTTTATTATAACCTACCACCAACATGTCATCCACATACAACGACAAAATGATAAAATCATTTTCATCAAATATATTGTAATAGGTACAATAGTCTAAACTTAGTCTGTTGTAATCAAGACTAATCATGAACAATCAAATCTCTTGTACTAACACCTGGACGTCCGGTTTAAATCATATAGAGATTTGGTCAACCTGCAAACCAAATTTCCTTTTTCTTCAAGTCTTCTGGTTGGAGCACATCAATCATTTCTCTAAGTTTACCTTGAAGAAAAATAATATTTGTATCACCGCTAACAATATTCTTGTAGATAGTGAGATTCACAGGAAATACTCCTTCACATTATTAGCATAGTTCAAGAATTTTCCTTTTCCAAACTTTGAAAACACAGACTTCCTCTTGATGTAGTACACTCATAATCTCTTGGAGTAATCATTGTCATCACTAACACAAAATATTTAGTCATTCCTAAGGATAATATTGGTGATTCCAACACATTATAATAAATCAAGTCTAATATGTGTTTTCTCCTTAAACAATTTGACAAAAAGACTCCCAAATCTTCTTTATTGTACCCCTTTTCACATATTTGCTATAATATTGTTGTTAATTTCTTCCCACCTTTGTTTTGTGATGCCCACGATCTTTCTTCAATTGCTTCTTCACAATTGTATTTTCTCAAAATTATCAAAATTGTCTTCATCTTTAGTTTTCACAATGATAAATTATTCTCATTAAATTTTTTTATCTAATATTTTGTTGTCATGATTTTAACCAACTTATGCATTTTTCATTATGAATAGTATTGGCTATTGGAACAACAGCGTAAATCGTAACTAGTACATCGGGTAAGTTTCAAGGAAAGAGAGTTAGGTCACTAATAGACACTTAAATACTAAATATTTCCTTATCATAACTTTTTCTAGACATGTACTGTCACACTACCACATTTTATATGCACTGATATACTACCATAGTTTATATACAGTAACTATAATAACTTTTTTTCTTACGTGGAAGATTAAATTAACCATAACCACATAACATATTAAGAATTTTCTCTAACACTATTCTAATTACTATAGTAGCAAAATAATATCATAAATAAGAAATCAATCATTGGTTATTATATCACTATTATGAATCAGAGTAACTGCATAGAAACTCATAATTAAAATAAAAGATAAGAGAAACAAAACTGACAATAGGCAATAATAAAATTTTACTACCGACAAAAATTACAATATCCTCTTTAAATCTGAGGAGAAAATAATAATAATATTCTCTCTAAAAAATAAGAGACTCAATTACTATATATTGCACTAATAGAAAAGAGAAAGAAGATATATGAGGTGATTGACAAGGTAAACATGTAATCATTTTATATCGGAAAAAATAAACACCAACCTATAATTTTTTTGATATGAGACTTTATGTTATGATCTTTTTAAATAACATTGTAAAATAATTTATATTAATATTTTTTTATTAAATTAAAGGGAAGAATATCTTCCATTGTGTTTTTGTTGTTTTAAATAATAATAATAATAATAATAATAATAATAATAATAATAATAATAATAATAATAATAGTATTTTAACACATGAAAAAATAGATTTATAAGTCAGAGTTTTTATATATAAATAGAATAATGATTTTTTTACAACGATTACAACAATCAACTCACTATCACTTCTTAAATATAATAATAATAATATTTATTAATAAAATTAATTTTTTTAGGTTATAGGTTGAATGTTCCGGTTGTCAACGATGACGAGAGGAGAATTATTATAACTATTAATTATAAATATAAGATTTTATTATATTTTACTCATATTCGTTATATATATATATATATATATATATATATATATATATATATATATATTTAAAGAATAATAATTAAATATTTACCTTTATTTTAATTTTTTTTTCACAAGTCTATATTCCATTTCACTGTTTTATCATAATAAAATACATACGTTAAAAATATTATTTAGAAAACATATTTTTTGAATTTAATACTTTTAAAATATATATCATATTTAATAAAATTAATAAACGTATATATTCCATTAAAATTTTTAACATTTCATTTAAGTCAATACTATATTGAATAAAATATTCTCCGGTACAAAATATAGCTCATATTATATTGAATATAACTTCAATAAAAAGTTATAATTTGCACTACCTAATGTTAGTCAATCTTATAATGTTGGCAAATATTATAGTTAATTTTTGAAGTAATAGATATGGAATATTTTAATAAAACATGTAAGAGTCAAAAAAATATTATAGTTATTTTAATATTTTTTTTAAATTTGAGTGAAACAAAAATATTTATTATTTATATATTATATACAAAATGAATTATTTATACATTTGAATTGAAACAAATATTTCTTCAATTCAACATACAAATAATAATAAAAAAACCTATGCTTTTTAATAATAATAAAAATAATATATTGGAGAAAAGATTTTTTATATCCTATTTATATATATGGTTAAGATCGAGGATTTAGTATTAGATAAAACAATCTTCTCCTTAACTTGTAATGTTGATGTTACTTACAACATATATATATATAATCTTAAAATATTATTTTTTTATTAATTGACGTATAAAATATAAAGATTGATAAATAATAATATAAAATAAAAAAATTATCTCAAAATAACAATACTCGTTATTATTCAAAATATATATATATATATATATATATATATATATATATATATATATATATATATATATATGACAGTTAAGAGTACAATTTAAAAACCATATAATCACGTTGTTTCATTTGACTATGAGTTAAAAATACAATTTAAACATCAATTTTTTAAAATTTGTTTATTTAAAATACTTAATATATTTAATAAATACAGTCAACATATTCCACTAAACAAAATATGTATTGAATATAACTTTAATAGAAAAATATAATTACATTGAAAATGTTATTTTAAATAATATTAAATGTGGTATACTTTAATAAAAAAATGTATTTTATTTAAAGTTATAACAAATTTTGATCACTAGCTACTATATAACGTATAACTTCTTATGTGTTTGTAATTTTTTTAGGTTTATTATTGGCGTATAAATTTGAATTAAAACCAATACTTCTTCACTTGACATAAAGAAAAAGTAAGATACTAGAAACAAACACACCCGTGTTTTGTCCTTTTTTCATATGAAAAAATCATCATGAGTTTAAGTTCATTTTTATTATTTGTTCTACTTTGTAATATAGCAATGGCAAATGCTATATTTTCCAGAAACTTAGACAAACTCAAAGGTGATGAAGGGTCTGAAGTTGGAAACCCTCCTCTTATAAAGACCTTTAACAATGTTTTACGAAGAGGGTTTCATGTACTTCCCAAAGGAAATGTTCCACCTTCTGCCAGTTCAGGTACTTCACCACCTTCAACCAACCATGTTTCTGACATGAAAACATCTAAAACACATCAACGTGTTGCAGAAGGTGATCAAAGTGTACGGTTTCATCAGCTTCCCAAAGGATCTGTTCCACCAGAAGGAAATTCACATCATTCACATGAAACTCCAAAACCTCCTTCTCCTTCACCTCAATCTAACGCCTTTCCCCACTCCATCTTTAAGAAGTTGTATTTTGTTAAATAAATTGCATGATGTTACTGAATGATGCATTATTAAATAAAAGTTTTCTTGTCATGATTTGTTTTCTTGGTTATGTGATTTGTTTATTTTTACCTACATAATTCGAATTCGGTTACGAGAGGTTCAATTCTTACCTCACTAATTAATATAATTTTTAAAATAAAATAGTATTTATTAAATATAATAATTAATATAAATATATATATATATATATATATATATTTACATTTATTTATATAATTATATGAAATAAATATAAATATATTTTTTTAAATAACATAAAAATATATTTATATAATTATATTATTAATATATTTTTATAAAAATAGTAAAAATATATTAAAATATAATAAAAATATTTATATATTTATATAAAAAAATATTAATTGTACTTATTAAAATTAATTTATATTAAAAATATATTTAAATAATATATATAATTTATTTATGTAAAAATGTTATATAGAAATATATAAATATATATTTACTAAATTTTATTATATTTATAAAAATATAAATAAATATTTAAATATTATATTATATATATATATATATTAAATATATTTGTTTTTACTATATTTATAAAAATATATTAATAATATAATTATATAAATAATTTTTTAAAAGAATATATATATATATATATATATATATATATATATTTAATTATTATATTTAATAAATATTATTTTATTTTTAAAATTATATTAATTAGTGAGATTGGAATTCAGCCTCCTAAGAATTGAATTCCAACTATGTAAGAAAATTGTGCTAGTAAGGTAAATATTGATAGAATGATGTTATTTCTGAATTATAAATTTAATAAGATGCTAGTAAGGAAAAAAAATCTCAAAATGTTTGACTTTTTATAAAAGTGTGTTACTCATGTAAATATTATTGTATGCTATATATATATATATATATATATATATATATATATATATATATATATATATATATATATATATATATATATATATGAAAATTTATGTTAAAATAATACTAAGTTGGACAAAAAAATTTGTTTTGTATACATGGATGTCAAACATGTCATGAATGGATTATTAGTAATGCTCATTGAACATATATATTATATGCCTTTTGATCTTAATTATTTAAAAAGTTAATTAGTAAAGTATTTAAGTTAATTAATTCTTTAGAAATTTGAAAAAAAAAGGTTTTTCTTTCTCCAATAGAAATTTTATTGTAAATAACTCTTTAGTCGCAACTTTTAAAAATAATAAAGTTCAACAAATGACACGTTAAATAAAATGATACGTATATATTGCATAGTGTCCACGGTGGAATTCTGTTTGCTACATAAATAAGACTTCCTAAATTACTATAAATTATTTTCAATATTTTATATAAATATAAGAATCAATATATCCAAAATTTATAATAGAATGAAATATAATATTTTAAAATAATCAAGAAAAAATATTATATTTAACCCTAAAATCAATATTCATTCTAAAAAGTTTTTACAATATATCTCTTTTATTTAAATATGACCAAAGATTGGTTGGATCCGTTTCCATGATAACACGTTATATTAAAAATTAGTCAAATAAATTATTATGGTTAGATATTTTAGATCACTACAAGAAAAAACACATTTAACAATCGAAATTAGCGATCGATTTAGTGACCGATTTAATTTTGGTCGCAATTAGCGACCGATTTAATTCGGTCGCAATTAACAACCGATTTAGCGATCAGCTTTAATTCGTCGCAATTAGCGACCGATTTAGCGACCGAAGTTAATTCGGTCGCAATTTAGCGACCGATTTAGGCACCGAAATATGATTTGGTTTCCTTTTTTATTTAGAGACCGAAATAGCGACCAATAGTTTGCGTCGCAGAATTTCGATCGCTAAATCGATGGTTATTCCACACTAAAATAAAAAAAACATTTAGCGACCGATTTAGCGACCAAATTACAAATTGAAATAATGACCGAATTGAAATCGGTTGCTAATGAAAAAATAGCGACCGAATTTAAATCGATCGCTAATGAATATTATTTTTTATTATATTTAAATTTTTTTTATAAATATACTTTAATTGTTTTAGTATATTTTTTACAATTTATTTTTTAAAAGTAATTTATTTTTGAAAAATAATTTAATTTTTAAAATATACTTTAAAAATAAACTTTGGTCTCAATATTAACAAAATGAAGATTAACTTTAATTTTAAATTACTAAAATAAAAATATTATTAAAAATAAATGAAATTTATTAAAAATTTAAATTGTAATAAATTAAGATTAGAGTGATATTAACTATTCAATACATTATTTAATAAAAGTTTAATAACAAATATTCTTTAATTTATTTTTCAATTGAAATTTTCAATTAAAATTAAATTATATTTTAAAAATTTATATTAAAAAATTAAACACATCAAATTATCACATTTTAATTCCTAATTAACTTAATTAAAAATATATTTAAATTTATATTCAACATACCTCCAATTTTGCTCAATAAATTTATAGATCACATTTGGAAACTTCATCACTTAAATAACTTCAAAATTATTAACTTTTTTTTTTCAAAGCCAAGTTTTTCTTGTCAGTTTTTTCAAAAAAATAGTTAATATAAATTAAGGTTTTACCTTTTTAAAATTTCAACTTTTTTATATATTAGATTTTTATTAAAAAATTTCTAAAATTGCATAAGAAAATAGAAATTTAATTATATTTTTAATAAATTTAAGATAATACTAGTTTTTATTTTTAAATATTTATTTTAATTTTTTAAAACAGAGAAACTATAATTTTAGTTTTTAAATATTAAATTTAAAGAATTAAATTTATTATTATTTAATATTTTAATTTTAGTATTAAAAATTTAAATTATATTTTATTAAATTAAAATAATTACAATATATTTTTCTACTTTGAGAATTAAAAATATAATTAAACTAAAACTGAAAATATTAAATACATTTTTGAACTCTTTTTTATAATATTTTTATCATTATTACATTTTTGGATTAATTGTTTTTTTCTAATTTTTTATAAAGTCAATTTTAATATTTAAAAGTATTTAACATTTTGAATTTTGAAACTTTTTCTCTATTAGCAAATTTAAAAACATAATATACTAAAAAAATATTATACATAATTATTTAATTCAAATTTTTAATAATATGATAAGTCATCAAATTCGTATATAAAACAAATTTAATGATGGATTAAAATAGAAAAACATTTATAAGAGACTATTTATTTTTATTTATAATGGATCAAAAGTGGAAATACATTTAAATTTATAATTAACGAAAATAATGAAAATTTTAATATAATATGATATTTTTAGTAATGTATTTTTTTATAAATTTAAACTTACTTTTTTTAGTTTAGTTTTTAAATTTTATGTATTATTATTGTTAATTGATATACTAGAATAAATTTATATAAAAATAGTCTTTATCTTCAAAATTCACTTCTTCAAATATTATCTTTATATTTTTCTACTGTTTCTTTATAGTTAAGAATGTCAACATTTATGCAGACATTTAAATATAATATAAATTAAAGAGTATTTGTTTATTCTATTTTATTTTCAATCTATAATTTGAGTTTTTTTAAAATATATTTTATATTTTTAAAATTAATAATTTTAATGTAGTTATCTAAGTTTTTTATGTGATGATTTTAATTAATTGATATTATTGAACCATTTAATTTGATTTATTATAGTAAAAATCATAAAAATAAATGTTAAAATAATATTAGTTATTTTAAATTATAAGAAAATAAATAATAAAAATAGAAAATAAAGTATTCTATAAAAGAAGATTAATTATTATAAAGATAAAATAGAATATGGGAGGAAATGAGGATGATAATATAGTAAAAATGATAGAGTTTAAAAACAATGTAGAATGTGAGAAGTTTAAAAAGAAAAAAAAAGTTAAAAATGGATATATATATATATATATATATATATATATATATATATATATAAGTAATTGGATTAAATTTATTATCCCCTCATATATTATTATACATTATTAGCGTAATTTTAGTTTAATTAAAAATTAGAATACAAATATACTATACTAATATACCATTATATTATAATATTTATAATTTATTTTCATTGTGTATAAATTTATATTTTAAATTTTTTCATAAATATATAAATATATAAAAATATAAATGTATAATGATATAAATGTATAAAGATATAGATGTATAAATATATAAATAAATATATAAAGATATAAATATATAAAGATATAAATACATAAATATATAAAGATATAAATATATAAAAATATAACAGATAATTGGATTAAATTTATTATCTCTTTATATATTATTATACATTATTAGCATAATTTTGATTTAATTAAAAATTAGAATACAAAGTTTAACATAAAATATAAAAATTAAGGAATATGAAATCGTTAAAAACTTTGTTTAGATTAAATTCGTACACCACATAAAATTTTAATTACAAAGTTTAACCTCTCTATGATGCAGTATCTAGGACTTTGACATATACACCATAGGAATTGACATAATTGATTTTAATCAATTTTAGTACTAGAAGAACTAACAAGTGAATTGTTTTTACCCATATGAACCTTATTCATGGGATCTCCAATCACAAAGGTTGGGTTACCATTACCTATTTGTTTGCAAGTTTCTTAAGTCTCATTCCCCTTGATATTTATAAAATCATATTTCTCGCTAAGGGTTTTGTCAGAGGATCTGCTAGATTCTGTTCTGACTTCACATAGTCAATGGAAATTGTTCCATTCTTTAGCAGCTGCTTCACTAAATTATGTCTCAACTGTATATGTGTGTTTTTTTCATTGTAGTTCTTATTTTTTGCTATAGCTATTACCGATTAACACAGTGTATTGATACAGACGGGATCAGTTTCATTCCTAATGGAATGTTTACCAAGAAGTTTTTCAACCAATCAACTTCACTACTAGCCATTTTGAGAGCAACAAATTCATATTTCATTGTTGATCTT